TCTCTTTTAGACACTTTACTAACACTAGCAGCTATGTAAACTCCTGCTTCTTCTATTTCTATAGGCTCAACTAACACTTCTTCGTTAAACTTAAAGTCATTTACTTTAGCTTCAATTATGAATTGACTTCTCGCAGGTACTTCAGTTATTTTAACTAACCTTACAGGAACTCGTTCTTTCAAACACTCCTGTTGGGATGCTCTGTTGCTTATGTTAGGCATAAGTTTAGAGTCATCTGAGGGGTTTGAATGATTATTTTCCGGTTTTATGAGTTTATGTTTATTCACTAACTTATTCTGCCTTACTTTACTATCACTCGCCTTATCTTTATGACTTCTGCTGGGTTTAACGTTTTTCTGTGTAGTCCTATTTTCTGTCTTTCTTTTAGAACTTTCTTTAGGACACTTCTTATTCTTACTCCTCCGACTTTGTCGTGTGTCACTACACTTTAAGAAGTCAGTGCTGTCGTTCTGAGACAGTTGATCCTTAGCCTTGCTAGTACAAGCGTTAGGCGTCTGACTGTTAGTCAGCGGGAAGGTATCGTGTCGTAACTGTCGCACATAAGTTTGAAGGTTCAAGTCCTTCAAAACTTAAGACCTCTGTTTCTATGCATAGCTTACTTTGGGTAAGAGATATTTCAGTGTCGTAAGTTCTTAAGAAATCTTGCCCTATAATACCATCTGTGTGTAAGTCTATCTGCTTACAGATGTAAAACGAATGACTTAGCTCTAGGTTTCCTACTTTTACTTGCATATTATATCTATCTAATGTCTTAACAGGGTGTCCTGTTATAGACGTTAAAATACTTCTGGAAACTTCTTTCCAGGCATTATCTAATAATGTCGGATTTCTATCTACTAGTTCAGAACTTAGTAGAGACGATCGAGCACCCGTATCAACCAATAACCGACATGCTATACCTTCTATTTCTACTCGAACTACTGGTGATACTTCATTAATCATATGAATACCCGATCGTTTATCCCATACTGCCGGAACTACCTCTACTTTCGTTCTGTAATCCCGGCGGGGATTACGTTTTTTGGACCCTTAGAAAAGGTAGGTTTACTATTAGTATTAGTAAACCTTCTTCCATGGGTTCCAGCCTTTGGGGCTTTTCCAGTTTCAACTTTTCATGGGCGTCGACAGTCACGTGCCATGTGACCTGTAATGCCACAGTTATAGCACACTGTCTGCTCATTTCTTTTTGATTTCTTGAAGCAATTTTTAGCTATGTGTCCAACTTTTCCACAGTTGTAACACTGGAAGCTATCGGACTTATTCTGCAACTTTTTATCCGATGGATTAGCCTTGTCTAAGTTATTAACTGTATTTATAGGCGAATATTTCGAATATTTGTTCGTCGTATATAATTGCTTTTCTCGTAGCTCTTCTCGTGTAGCTACTTCTATTAAATCTAACAATGTTGCTTGGGCTTTATTTGCTTCATTTACATGTTGCCTAGCTGCATTACTATACAGCCCTTGCTCGTACTCTGATTTTAGAGTATCCTGCAACATATCCTCGCTCGGACGTGCATAAGCCCTACGTAACCTATTACCTAACTCCTGTAGCTTGTGCCCGAAAACTCGGACTGATTCGCCACGTTGTTGATGAAGGTTACGCAGTTCGGTTAGAATAACATTAGTGGAGTCTCGCGTCCTGTATTCCTGTAATAACTTACGCACTAAGTATCGATAGTCTGTTGTTTCCCTAAGTTCGCCATAAGCCCTAATATAGCGTTTAGCCTCTCCTGCTGTTCTTAAATGCAGTATATCAGCTTTCTGGGCATCCGTCCAGCCTGATATTCTTGCTGCTTCCTCTAAAGCATCTATAAAACTCTCGACGTCTTCGTCCTCAGTGCCGTGATACAACGGTATGGCACTTGTTAAGTGTGTCGCGCCGCGGGACCCTATCGGTGCGGGTTGTTCCGCTGCGGCTTCGGGATCGGCCTGCCTAGCGGCTCTAGGATGTGCGCCACCCTCTTCCGTAGTCGTATCTACCCCAGCAGTAGCCATAGTTACTTAATTCTACCTTATTTCTAACTTATGCTACTTCGACCGATTTTCTTACTTTTTTCGTCTTTCTTTATTCTAACCAACCTTTTGTTAGCTACTCCAAAAATCCTCGAGACTGCGCCAGGTGGCTCCACTCGTCCCGACAAATCCTCCAACAAATAAATTTGGTGTACAGGTTGGTTTTAATTGAAACTCCAACAATTAAGCTCACCTGAGCAATAAATATTATTGGTGAATAGTATTGTTGGTCTGAGACTCATATTCTTTACTCTAACTGTAAACTCCTGGAGTTAGCGACTTGTGGCTCCACTCGTCCCGACAAATCCTCCAACAAATAAATTTGGTGAAATGTTAAAGAGTTAAATATTAACTATGATGTCAAGTGTAATAAAGATTAAGTGTTATTAATGGTTTATATGACTTTATGGGTGTTGACTCTGCCAAGAAGGTTCCAACTCTGCAGTAAGTGATTGTTGAGTTGCATGGTTAAGGCTGGTTGAACTAAAGTCAGTTCCTCAGCGAGTTCTGCAGCTCTCCAGCTAGTTCAACCAGCCTTAACCATGCAACTCAACCACTGTTCTAAACATGTTTTGCACACGAACGCCAATGTACAAGGCCAAGAAAGAGGATGTTGGCCTCGATTCTTTAGAACTGTAGAAGCTACAGAAAAGTTTATATTTTATGAATCATCTCGGTGCTTTGATGCAGTATCAGTTACAGTACATGGGTGTAGCAGTACAAGCAAGTAGGCAGCCAGCTAACACCAGTTGCCCATGACCAATAGCCTGAGGGTTTTTGGGTGTGGTACCAGATCAGCCCAGAACTTGCCTGCAAGCATCCAATAGGAGCACTGCACTACTTGTGGGTGATGCTGTGTCCTATTTGGATACTCACCAGGATACAGAGAAATTCTGCTATATAAACCCATGTAAAGAGCTGGAAAGTCAGTTTCTTTAGTCATAAGTGATGACTAAAGAGGTTGTTAACTGCCTCTACTGTGACCTTTGGTCACTAAACTCCTACGCTTGTTTATATAGCTTATG